GAAGCATAGCCAGCACCCATGATTCACAAGGTTTTGGTCAGAACTTAGAACACAGATGTAAAAAATAATATAAGGCAAATTACACCCAAGTCCTTGAGATTTGCCCTGAAGTCACCTCTCAATAGTCAAAGTCAAATCCAATTATCAATTTTTATCGTAGAATCAAAATCAATCTGTCGGCGATCATAAAAATAATAATAATAATAATGATCAAAATTTTACTTTCTCCCTCCGCATCTTTGGGGTACCCACTTGTTTTTTCCTTGACCTCGTATCCTCTAGCAAATCTGAATCAATCAAAGCCACAACAAATATCCACCTAAGCCCAAATATCAACAAAAATTGACTGCAATCTACAACAAGAAGATTCGAAATATAGAAGCTACATGGAGAATTAGAGAAACAAAACATACTCACTTAACAAATACTGAGTTTGTTGGTCACTCAATTTTCATTCTGGGGATTAAAAATTTTCTTGATAGCGATGATCTCAACTCACACGCATTACAGTTGTTTTACATGATTAGTTGGTGATCATTTCTCCATCTTAACCAAACGGTGGAGAAGTAATCCATCGTAAAAGATCTAGCCAATTGTAGGAACTCGAACCACCTGCCCCTTATCATTAACCCAAACCCAGACCCTATTGCACCTGAAGTCCCTTGTCACTGGTGTTCCTTCCGGCAACACTATGGCACCCACATTACGATTCTCCCTCTCTATCGTTGCCTTCACTGTCTCCCCTTTTGTCCTCAGCAGCTCTGGCCACGAGTTCTTCCCTGTAATAATATGTTTCATTTGTCACAGCTCAGTTTTGACTTTTGTCACCCATCGAACTTAAAGCTGAACCACCAACCAAAATGCAATAATGAAACATAAAAACAACCACAAACTTAACTGGCTACCCTTATCAGGACACCGGGACATGTTGCTTTCTCTTTCACTCTACCTGTCTTCCGGGGTTGAGTGAGTTTCTACTTGCATCAGCCAACGTATTTAAATACATGGATTCATGTGGCGAAGGCAGAGTGTGAACAATGAAGTAGAGGGCAAGGATTCAAATTGTGGTTTAAAAGCGAAACAACGATCGCAAAATAGTGGCCGTAAAATAACGGTAACGTCACCACCCATCATCGTTATTAGATAAAATATGATTGTGAAATTTATTCATGATAAAAACGAAATGTAACAACCGCAAATAACGGTTTAATGAAAAATAGCGACAATAACGGACTGTTATTGCTGTTATTTTATTTTTTTACACGGATCTAATAGTTTGAGAAAAAAAATTTTTCAAGTTTCAACCATTCAATATTTCAATATCCAAATTCAAATCAGCATCAAGTTTTTAATCAACATTTAAGATCAAATAAGGTAAGAAAAGAAAGTTAAATTACTTTTTTTTTTGTAAAATTTTTGTAAAATGATATGTTATGAGAGTTTGAAACTTGATAGAGACGAACGAGATGTATTGGGTAAGTGATAATGATGAACAGATGCGAGAAAAAATGAGAGATAAAAAAAAATTTTAAAAAACAAAACTTTGGACACGCAAAGAAGATAAACAGAAGCTGGTTCTAGATGGTTCTGTCGCCTGTTACAACTAAACATTTGAGGGGCATTAAGGCAAGCACATGAGGAGGGATTTGGTGGGATGGCGAGGGATTGTGGGGTGGGGTGGGGTGGGGTGTAGGGTGGCGGGGAAGGGATTGGGTGGGGAGGGATTGGGTGTGGTGAGGTGTTGAGGGGTGGGAGTTGAATTTTTTATTTAATTTTGTAATTAATTTTTAAAATTTTTTTAGATAAAATTTAATTAGAGGTTTTAAAAATTTATAATTAAAAAAAATAAGAGATTAATAATTTAATATAATATATATAGAGATTTTAGATGAAAATTTTTGATAAATTTTTTGTATAAGTTAGATGAAAAATAATTAAAATTAAATATTATATTTTGATTGTGTTATATATTAATTTATAATTTTGTATCTGAATTTTAATTTTTTTTGTTGTTTTGATATTTTATTGTTGTCAATTTTTTTGATATTAGATTAATTCTTGTTATTTTTGTGTAATTATTGAAAATTGTATTTATTATATAATTATTGAAAGTTATTTGTGATAAAAAAATTTATATCAATTAGTGTATCAAAAAGATTAAGTTATTTAATAAATTTAGCATTTTATAATCTATTACTCTTACTAAGATTAAAAACTAAAAAATAAAAAATATAGGTTTGAAAATTTTATTAAAATATAAGTTCGAAAATTTTTAATTTTTGAAATTTTTTTTAGTTAAAATTTAATTAGAGAGATTGAAGGTTTATAATTAAAAAATTAAGGGATTAATAATTTAGTATAATATATATAGAAATTTTAGATGAAAATTTTTGATAAATTTTTTTGTATAAATTAGACAAAAATTAATTAAAATTAAACATTATATTTTGATTGTGTTATATATTAATTTATAATTTTTATATGAAATTTAATAATTTTTTTTTGTGAATAAACTAAATATGAATGTTTTTTATAATATAAATAAAATTATAAATAATTTTTTTAAAAAATAAAAAATATAATATCATAAACTATTTTTAAAATCATTAAATAAAAATTTTTATAATTATAATTATTATATTTTATATAAATTATGTAAAAAATATTTTACGACTATAATAATCATAATAATCATAATAATTTTTATTATATTTAAAAATGAAATAAATACGACGCTACTAAAAATATGAACGCGGCCGATATTTTGACTGCTCATAAAAATAAGGCTGGCCATTGTTGAATGCCGATGTTACGAATATTGAATGGTGCTTGGCTGGCATTTGCACAAATAACCCTTTCATCAATTATGTATCCCTCTGTACGACACAATTGTCTTTGAATAATCAGATATTTTTGCTATCTAAAGTCAACGCATAGGATAGGATATCCAAAGTCAATTCCTTCTAGTCTTTCAAAAGCCAAATCTTCAAGCAAAGGTTGTTGGCCATTCAAAGAAATCCCCGTATATTTTATTCAAAATCTTCTCCCAAAATCAACGTTTAATTTGCATGGCCTCCGCTCCGGCCATTTATAAATTCCCTTCACATCGATTGGCTTCGGCCTCCACATCACACAACAGGGGAAATTAAGTTCACATCATCGCAAAAGAAAATCCAAAAGTTGGCTTTGCAAAGGTAAAGGAGGGAATGGTGGTGGCCGTGGATTTTCGTTGGGATAGGGTGCGTCTTTGGGGGAATTCTGAAGATGACGCCTCAAATTGGCCACTCCGTACGACCGTACTCTTTGCCAGGATCAATGAATAAATAATATTTTTACATGTTTAATTTAAAAGAACTAATGAAGTACGAGAACTACTAGGGGCAATCGCATTTTCCATCATCCTTCAACGCGTGATTCTGCAGTAAGCCACGTGATTTCTTCTTTTCAACGCAAAACTGGTAACTTGTTCTTACAAATTTCACGATTTCAAGTAATAGATGCGAACAAAAGAGCAAGAATAAAATATATTTCATAACTTTATAAATTCATGATCCCATAAAACCCACACTACCTCACGCAACAAGCAAAGCAAGTCTGATTTTGATCGTGTTATTGGTGGGAAAAATGTAATGCTATACTCAAACATTAAAATAAAATAAAAAATAGTATATTTTTTTAATATTTCGATATTATATATGTTTTACTTAATCATGATTTGTATTATTTACGCATATTACATATATTAATATTTACATAATCATGACGAATCTATCATATGGACATAAAATATTAAAAAAATTTTAAAATTTTCATCAAGATATTTCTAAAATTTTTTCTTAAATATTTTTTTGACAATAAAAAAAAATGAATTCATCTATATATTATAAGTAAATATATCTTAAAAATTTTTGAATCCACTATTATATAATATAATTTATAAGTAAAATAATTTACTATTTTTCTTTTTTCTATTTGTATAATAGGTATATAAGCATGAATATTTTATGTAACCTTGAGTAAAATTACAAAAATATTTTGAGAGAAAAAGAAAAAAAAGGATAATATTGTATTTAATTTTCTTACAATTTTAAAGATTAAAAAAATTAATTGGGATAAAACTGAAAAAAAAAAACGATTATTTTGCTTAATTCAAAAGTAATAGATGAAATGATGACAACATTTTTATCTGAGTATTCGGTTCCAAGTTCTGAGCTGAAAAAATAAGATGACGTGCTTTTAACGTTTTGATGTAATGGCCAAGGATTCGATCCTAGCCTATTCTTTTGTTGTAAGACTTTGTTTTCTTTGAAAATTAAAAAAAAAATAAAAAAAGATGACGTGGCTTGCCGAAAACAATCTTTTGTATGTAAAAATAAATAACTTTTAAAAAAAAAAAAATATTACGAATGATTTTTAAATTATAATAAAATATTTTATATGATATTTAAATTTTAAAATTTTTAATATGATAAATAAATTATGAATCTATTATTTAATAATATTTACTATGATGACATATAAAAATAAAAAGTTTACTAAAAATTTTATTAATTAATAAATTTATAATTTAAATATTATATTAAAATTTTAAAATTTAAATATTATATTATAATTTTAAATTATTCATAATGTGAGACAAAAATAAATTATAGGTATATTATTAACTTGTTTGCTTATTCGAAAATAATCTTATATATTCAGCCAAGTCAGGCATGTTCATAAATAGAAAGACATAATAATCAATCCAACATTAATTATAAGGCTTAGCAATTTAATCAAATAATAATATGCCTAAATTTAAATTAAATGTTTGTCCTATAAATGTATAAATCCGTGACGTGGATTATTATATATTCAGTTGGGCCGCCTCTTGTCCAAGATTGTATGTCGTTTTTATAGGCCATTAGTCCTAGTTTAAGCAAAATTTCAACTTAAAAGAGTGTTCTGATCTAATTTCAACAGTACTTAACCTTAGATTTTAAGTCTAAATCTAATTAGGAAATTTTTAGAAACCAGACTTTATTTCTTTTTTATTTGATTGAATCCCACCTGAAAGAGTGTTTTTTATAAAAAAGACTTCGCCTCCAGCAGATTTTAACTCGATTAGCACTTACCCACATTCGTCCAATTTTCTTCTTTTTAATTTATTGCAAGAAAAACCAAACAAAACAGAAAGCAACAAGCTTCAGTTAACATAACATAAATAGTCTGAAAATAATAATAATCCAAACCCAATTAAAAGTCCAAATTTCATTGATGAACCAGAAACAACCACTTCAGCCCCGAACAAAACAGGGTCGCTACAGGTAGGGAAACTCTCCCCTTTCCTCAACCTTGATGGGGAGGCCACCTTTCATCTTAGACGTCAGATAAACAAGAAGCTCTGGCTGAAACCCATCCTCCACCGTCGGCACCACCTTGAATCGCCTTAGAACACCAGCCACCACCCTTTTCATCTGCAAGAACGCCATCTCCTTCCCCAAACAAATCCTGGGTCCTGCCTGGAACACTGGATAAGTATAAGAATCTCTCCCAACAAAGATCCACTTCCCTGCCTCATCTCTCTCCACCCATCTCTCTGGCTTGAACTCTGCCCAATCTGATCCCCATAACTTCTCCATCCTTCCCATCGCGTAAGGATGATACGTTACTAACGTTCCTTTCTTTACCACCGTCCCGTCTGGCAAAACGTCGTCCTCCATTGCCAGTTTGGTATCCACCGGGACTGGAGGGTACAGTCTCATGCTCTCGCAAAGAGAAGCATGAGTGTAGACCATGTCTTTAACTTCCTCAAACACTGGCATATTCGATTTCTCTTTCATTTCTTTGAGAATTTCTTTTTCAACTTCAGGGTGTTTATATAGTAACCAGAAAAACCATGTCAAAGCCGCTGATGTTGTGTCACGGCCGGCAAGTATGAAGCTGATTACTATATCCGTAGCGAAATTCTCGTCTGAATGGCCTGAGCTCAAGAACCTTGATAAGAGATCAACCGATTCCAAAGAGGAATTATCAGCTAGTTCTTGTTTCTTTTCCTTTACAATCTTCTTTGCCAACTCACGGACTTGAGAGACTGCAATTTTGAGTCTTTTCTCTAAACCAACATTGAAAAATCGCTTGATTTTCCAAGTTATAGTAAGAAAAGCACGGAACCTTTCGCTACTTATGTGAGCAGCATCTTCAAAAGCTTCTGCAAACTGTGCCTGCGGTAAAGAAGGCAAGAGACAGGCAGGGTCAAACCCAAAAGCGATCTTGCAAATGTTGTCAAAAGCGAACCTTTGAAGAATATCTTGCAAGTCAAGCACGGTCTGGTCAGATGCAGCAGCAGAAAACATCGGAATCAAACGGTCATGAAGCTCGGTATCAACAACAGTTTGTACAAATTTACGAAGAGATTTGGTGTTGAACTCGTGACTAGAAACTTGTCTCTGGAACTTCCAAGACCCCCCATCAACGTTAAAGATGCCGTTACCAAGAAAATCGAAGAGACTGCTTGTAAAATGAGGGCCTTTTTGGTAGTTGAAGAAGTGGGTCTTGAGCATGTGCTGGACGTTGGCAGGGTTTGCAGTAAAGATCTGGCGAAAACCGAACAAGTGGTGGAGAGTGAAAGTTGCAGAGGGAGAGCTCTGGAGGATACGTGTAGTCCACTGCAAGCGATTGCTTCGATTGGATTTGATGGCGAAGTAGGAGCCGATTATTGGATAAGACTTCGGGAAAACAGTGGATGGACATGGGGCTGTCGATGGTTTCTTGGATTTGGAGGCTTTGGTGGTGATTAAGAAGAAAAATGGGAGAGTGAGGAGGAACAATATCGAGCTCAATAACTGAATAAACATCCTTCTATATCTAATAAGCTATTGTAAAAGTTTATCTTCTATCATGAATTTGGGAGCAATAGTTGTCAAAGACAGATTTGCCTGGAAGAGAAGTATTTAATTTCTAGAACCATTACTAAGCTACTTAAGTTCAGACTCTTTCTAACTTTTATTTTTTATTTGCAGGAGAAGGGTAAGGGATGACGAAATACTATAGAGAAATCAAGATAAAGTTCTCACATGAACGAAAGGTATAGGACTCTAAAAAAATTAAAATAAAGGGTGTAAAAAGCTCTTAATCATATCCAATTATTTATTTTTTATGGTAATCAATTAATTTTAATATTTATTTATATTTAATTATATTTAATTAATTTTTTTATGATCAATTAATTAATTTAATATTTATTTGTATTTAATTAGTATTTATTTGAATAAAAAATTAACATCATAAATTTTTTTAATTAAAAAAAATTTATATGACATTAATTAAAATTTGTCACATAATATAATTAATAAATGAAAATTAAAAAAATAATTTTTCCTTTTTAATCTATTTTTTGTCTCTTTTTAATATTTTTATAAAGATTTAATTAATTATAATTCAAAAATAAATTGATTCAATCTTACAGTATGATTAAATTTCATTCAATTAAAAATATAATTAAATTAAAATAATAATAAAATTTTAATTAATTATAATAAAATATTAAAATTTTATATTATTATTATTATAATTCAAGCATATTTTTTATTTTTAATAAAAAAATCAAAAGATAAGGAGCAACATGATGGATCAGCGACAGACGCTGCAAGTAATCAATCCTGGTCCAAATTTTATCCTTGTCTCAATTAGACCATCGACTCTTAAACTTATCAAATTGGTTAATAAAAGATTTAACAATTTAGGGCTCCATTTAGTAGGCGTGAAAATGATTTCCGAAAATCTATTTTTTCGTTTTTCATTGTTTGAATGATATGATCAACAAAAAATAACTTCTAATCAACGAAAAATGTAATATAAAGCACGAAAATTGTCTTCCATTTTTTTTGAGCGGAAGACAATTTTGATAACAGATCAACTCCAAATCTTCTACCCTTGAAGAAGTCATGAACCCAAGACCTCAACCCAGAACCCCCCCCCCCCCTCCCAAACAACTAACCACAACTTTCTCCCCCATCGTCAAAACGGCTTCCCCCGAATTTCTTGACATCCATCTCCTTTGCGAAGCCATCGAGATTGAGACGAAATCTTTCTTGCTCACCTTCGTAACGGCTCTGTTGGAGTTGACATCGTGGATGGGGACATTGATTGCAAAGTATATCGGTTTTGATGGGTAGCTGACGTTGAATTGGCAAGTTTCTTGCTTGGGTGTCAGATCCATTGAAAGTTAGGTAGGTGTGACAAACCTAGAAACAAAGGAGAATATTGAAGAACAAGTTGGGTAGGTTTCAGATCCATTGGTTGGTTCTTCAATGCACCCAAAACCAAAAAAATCTGCTTTACTTCGCCCGTTTGTTTTTGTTAGTTTCAGATTTTTTTAGTGAAAAAAAAGTATAATCTAGATTGTGAAATATTAGATACGAAGTTACGGAAAATTTTTATATTTTTTATTGAATACCAAACAAAGAAAAACAAGTTCCAATGAAATTACCAAACAACTAAAAATTTTTTTTTTCTGGAACTTCATTTCCATTGAAAATATATATATATATATATTTAATTTTTTTTGGAAGCTTTTTTCCTTAGTAGCCCATTTTCTGTAGGGCACCACTGCCACAGATGCGACCATCCAGTTGGACTATTATATTAATTATGGTTAATATCTTATATAGTTCCCGAATTATTATAATTTATTAAATTTGATATTTAAATTAAAAAAATTATTAAAAAAATATTTAAATTTTAAAATCGTATATTAATTTGGTTTAAAAATTAATTCTATTAATTAAATTTTTAACTTGATTATTTTAATCAATAAAAATCCTTGATATGAACGCAAGATGATATTAACACAAAATGATATTTTATACTTACATGAATTGCTTATTAGGCCAGAAGAGTTGCTCTGGATTGCTTATGAGAAGTAATCTCTTTTCCGGAGCAACAAAGTCTCTATCTGTCTCTCTCTCAAAACATTAACTCATTTTTCTAAGCTTGACCGACCTGACCGCCGTTAAAGAAATTAACCGAAGTTTCTCTGAAGAGTTTTCGAAGCAGTTAGACTCAAAACTGGGATGAATTAACCAATTGGGTACTTTTTATTTTCAACGAATTGAAGTGGGTATCTTTTAGAATTTCGAAATTGGTTGGTTTTTCTTTTTTCCCCATGAAGCCAAAAGCAAGGACGAAGGAAACCAGATTTAATGGAACGGCGTCAGAAAGGGATGAAGTTGAAAGTTTCAAAGGCAGGTTCCTTCACGGCTTTGCTAGAACTCCCGGCTTAACAAGCCGTTCTGCTTTTACACTCTCCCGAGTAGGCTAAGCTGATCGTAGCTCCAGCTCCGAACGTTGAAGATTTCAAAGGCAGTTTTCATTTTCCTTCTAATAGTGGTTTGATTGAACGAGCTGTGAGGTTGTGTGCGTTTGTTGGAGAGGGTAACAACACTAAGAAGAGCAACTCTCTTGAAACGACGTCGAACATTTTGTGTCCATATAAGCAATCCGCGTAAACATGATATGTTATTTTGTGTCTAGTGGACGGATTTTTATTGCTTAAAATAATCAATTTAATAACTCGACTAATGAATTAATTTTTGAATTAAATTGATATATAATTTTAAATATTTATTTAATAATTTTTTAATTTAAATATTAAATTTAACAAATTAAAATAATTTAAGAATCTTATAAGATATTATCCTTATTAATTATTGCTAAAGGTTCAGCCTTTTTAAAGACAACACTACGTCTCAAGGCGTATGCGTGAACAAATCAAAAATCATCTTTTCCTTCAATTCCCATCTCACTGTTTCTTCTGCATGCTTACCATCAAGCCGGGTGAGAGAGGACATTGATGACAGAAAGCAAGCAGAGACGTCACGTCATCAAACTGCCAAAAATCAGTAACATCAAATTTTCTTAAACAGGGGAATGGAGATACAGTGCTAAAACTGGCAAAATGAAATATTTATGTTCCCTTTGCTCATCTTTATCAGGAACAAAATGGTACGGTAACACTTGACCAAAAAATAATACAACCTTTTCCGATCATTTGAACCTCTCTTCAGAACATAATCAACGCTCCTTCGAGTAATGATATTTCAGTAAAAAATTCAATCATTATGATGAAGTCAAAAATTTTTTATTCGTTTAAATATATGTGATAATTTTAAGATGTTTTACAAATTGTTTCAAAGATTATCAAACAAAATTTGATATTAACACATCAATTCAAATTTTATTTTTATCAACATCAATTTTATGTTTATTTTATATTTATCAATTTTTTTTATTTCAAAAAAAATAAAATTTTATTATAAAAGGGTGAGGAGATATTTAATTCGAAACTAAATTTTTATGTTTTTTTAAAAGTTTTTATGATCATTAGATCACGAAATGAAACATATATAAAATTATTTTATATTTATATTTTGTCAATTTCATATTTTGTGTTAAGTCAATTAAATTTATTTTATTAAAATTATTTTGATAAAAATAATTTTATTTTTATTTTATTAAAATTATTTTAAGTCAAGTCAATTATTTAAGTTTAATCGATTTTTTTATGATAAATTATGAACCCGTTATAATTATTGTAGGTCTTATTTAATTATTTTTCTTTATGTATAAATTTATAATTCCTTCTTGAAGAAGGTAGAGATCGTTCAACTTTCTCAAAGAAGTGACTTGTAAGAAAATCTTCTCTAATATAAATATGGTTTTCTAAAATCTCCCATATTTTTTGGTGATTATTTTTTTCTTTTCTGTTGTTACGTTTGGAATCAAAAATAATCTTTTATATTATTATATGTAGTGATATAAATTAGTATACTCTACAATTATAATAATATTATGAATTTTATGCATCAAAAAATTTTGTAAAATAATCAAATAGATCATCTTTTTTAAAGAGAAAGGAAATAAAAAAGTTAAATTTTTTTCATAATTAGTTTTTTACATTTCTAAAAAAGTTCTGAATGACTGTTTGCACATTAGATCTAAATGAGCTTTTGCTTGAATTCTTCAAACAAATCTGTTGATTTTCTACTGTTGTGTGAACAAACTCAAAAGAAATCTGGAAGTAAATAAGACTAAAAGAATCACCCACTTTACAATATAGTCGCACAGTGCTCCAAAAAATTACCATAAATGTAACAACTGCCAAGTGCCTACCAATAAAAATAAATAAAACCCACCAAGAGAGAAAAGGAACAATGAAGCAATTACATTTTACGGTTTTACTCCCATACCTGATCATATGAGGTGATGCCTAGCATGTAAAACATGATCTTCATAATTCACAATTTCGTGGTAAGCTGAGAGATACTAGTTTGACTCCTGCCGTCTTTATATCACATTTCATGCTGATATACTTTGCTTTGCTTTCGGGCTAGCTCAATCTGGGAATGGGATGTATATGAAATATATATATATATACACACACACACACACAGAGAGGGAATGATGAGTACAGGAGGCATGAAACTGTCATTAAAGAATTCAACAACTTGAGGGAGGAGTAATGTGATCAATGCTAGTAACGTCATTTTTGTTACATAATCACTTGCAGAATCTCAGAAGTCAGAACAGACTCGGGAAATATTGTGAACATCTGAAGCACATTCAGACATGATAATACAAATCCTAGTACCCTACTTTCTTACAGATGGTAAGTCGGATAAAGAGGCAGTCACTTCTAGTCATCTGTCAGATACCTATTTAAACTGCTTCCTATCTTCTATTCTCAGTCCCGCAATAATCAAATTCCACATATTTGGCATTATTCTTGGTTAACCTGATTATATATGCTGATCCATGACCATATATAGCACTTGTTTCTACAGAAGCAAAAATAAATGATCAGCTTGAGCTGATAGCAATTTACATGAAATTAAACAAACATGCAGCATAATTAATTCATTGAGAGACAAAAAAGCAATTTCAGGCAAAAGTCAATCAAGACATGCAAACAAGTTTATACTGGGTGTGCACAATCTCTACCAAGAGAAGACTATTTTTTGGTAGAAACATTTATATGTTAATATCTCATATAAAGGAATTAATTTTAATCGGACCCATATATCTTTAACATGCTTACCTTTGTAATGATGCACAT